TTAATCGGCGCTCTGTATCTCCTTCATGTAAAGCTTGCACTAAATTATCACGAAACGGTTTAAAATTGTATTTCTTTAATACAGCTTGCACGTAACTTCTTGATAGTTGTAAATTACGTGCTACTATTTTTATGGATGTACGTATGTTTTCAATAAAACTTAAAATAGCACATTTGTCTCTTTCCCTTGGTCTGTTCTGATTGTACGACGTTGTCTTGTTATCAATCCTGTTCGACGTAATTCATCTTCGACTCGCCGAAATGTACGACCATTTGGTATCCTTCATTCTGAATACTTTTGTTGATAGAGTGTAGCTGAGCTTCATTTTCATTACGCATACTTAAATGCCACATCTCGAGCATACTCGACACACTTTTCACTAATACTAAACATCGTTATTTTTGTAATCTACAATATGATATGTATTCATTGAAAAGACGACTGATTGACTAACAAATACTATACTGAATTTATACAAATACTTTATTTACAACACAAGCAGTCGCGTATTTTGAGTTGAAGGTTAGTGATCCTGTTCGATATAACCGACTTCAAAATATTAGTTTGAATCTTGTTTTTCAAATTGTGATATGGAAAATCAACTTCTTAAAATTCAATACATAAGATGTCGATTATCTCGTAAACGATGCATAACAGTAATTTTTACTACATATGATTTTGATTGCAAATGCTCCCTACTATACGAATATGTAAAAAAAATTATAGGTATCCATTTAAAAAAAATTATGTTAACCTACATAACTCGAAAAAGTAACGAGTATAAAAAAAATTTTTGCATGCACTTTGTAACTGACTCGGAGTCGTACAAATTTCTCTTATTAAACTTTCTTGTAACCAGTTGCGAGATATTTGCTCCAACACTTATGGACGGACACCCTGTATATAATTAAGTTCATTATTAATATTTCTATCTCACATCAAATGGTTGTCTCGATAACATATACTTACTCATAACGTTAAATTATATACATTAATTTATAGTGATATAACTATATAATTAATTTATAAATTATAACATATATTTATAAAATATATAAATATATACATAATAAAGTTCTATTGATAATTACTTGGATAAATTTGCAATAGCTACACCAGCACATTCCACTACGCCTTTATGCCGACACTTCAGTAGTACCATAACGATAATATCTATGGAACATTTTACTTGTGCATTGGACTGTATCAACTTCCCAATTTCACTAGCGATTTCACATGATATCTATGTAAAAATTGTATTTGTTTAATTAATTGTAATAATTATCTTGTAATAATATTAAACTAATTATGGCAAATAAGCGAATAATACCTTTAAGGACATCCAAATACATGATATAAGTACTTGATGTGCAGGTGATAATTGCAATTCATCATAATCAAAATCTTCTATTTCACTGGTTTTTATCTTTTCATCAATAGCTAATCCCATTTCCGCAAACGAGGAAGAATAAACTAAACATGAAATTATTGTACAAAATCAGACATTCAATAGTTAATTATATTTATATTTATCATTTATTAATAGAAGTGATAAAAGTTAAGGAAAAGTGACCAATTTTAATTACATAATCTTTTCATCACACACAATAAAAATTTCTAATTATTATTACTATTAATATAATTATAAGTTATTGATAAATTTTTAAAAACAAGTAAATATAGGCCTAATGACGGTCAAGCAGGATTTTGGTTGCTAATGTAATGTGTGAATTTTATTTACCACGTATGTAGTCCTCTAAATCGCGTGCCGAAATTTTTCCAACATACAACGCAACTCTAATTAACTTCCGATATACGGAAAAATTTCGTCATTAAGCCTATATTTTCTTGTTTTTAAAAATCAACGGTTCAACACATATCGTGATAAATTTTTATTAAGTTCTAATACTTAAAAATGTTTTGTATTTGGTGATGCTAATTATAAAATATAGATCAGATTTTTTAATATTACTTATAAATATTGATACCTGTATTTGATGCTTTGGCAGAAAATATAGATAAAAAAAACTCAACAGCGTCTTTCAAAAGACTGAGAATTTTTTCCATAAATTGTGATGTTAAAACTAAATTCTCTGGGCCACCGCGAAAAGCAACTGCTAATAAAGCAGTCAATACACCATAAAATGGTCTATTTTTGACAATGGCTTTTAAAATATCGCTTTTCATATCTGCTAACTGACATTTAGCTTCATTCAATAGAAATTCTGAATAACTTGAATAAACAAGAATATTATTATATTCATTATCGAAAAATATAGCAGCTGTGTTTTTAAAGACATCGCTCGAATTAGTTGTCTTGTACAAAGGTAACCAATGTGCAATTATTTTTATGAGAATTGCTCCGCTTTCAATTTTGTAGAATTTCGATGAATTACAATGCTCCCACGCACAATTGTAGAGTATCTAAAATCAAAAAATTTTGTTATAGAATATTACACGGAATAAAAGGAACTATTTCAAAATTCAAAATCATAATCAATTTGCTCAATTTTGAATTAGCATTTTTCCATAGAAAAATAAATTTTAATATACAACTTTTACATTTTTTATATTTTAAATATCTTGAAAATTAAGCTATAATTTAAGTTTCCTTTACTATAATCTTAAAGTAAAATATCTAGGATAAAAAACTGCTATTCTTATTTAGTAAAGATTAGTCTGATAGATATTTATTACAATTTTTATATAAGCAAATCTATTGATTTCTAAGAAAAGTTTGCATTGATGAAGAGATATATCCTTCAAAATTTCCTTAACTTATTTTATGTATATGCGAAAGCGTAAAACATTTAAAGAAATACATAAGTATGACAAGCTTCTTACGCATTTTTCTGTGGTCGACAAAGCATCCTTTCCAAAATATTCCAGAATGAGGGTGCTAGCTAGTTGTCTAACATCAATTGCAGAATCTAGCACAAGTCTTAATAACAAAAACAAAGATTCCTTATTGGTAAACCTCCTACAAAGATTCCTTAAACCTCCAAGAAAGATTCCTCTTAATAACCTACTAGAATTATCAGTGGTCTTCAAGTTAATCGCTATAATATTGTGAAGGCATTTTTTATGATGGGTATAGCTCTTGTATAAGTTTTTATTTGTAAAAGAGAGTAAGATCTCATATAAATTTAAAGCGAGAATTTTGCGTTGATAGCACGAGCCAATTTCGAAACAATCCAGGAAGTATTCGTGCAACCAATTCATGAATTCAGAAATAGATTGTATGCAATCGGTTTTAACGTTGACCACTTTCAAGATGTTCGAGCACAGTATCCTAAAATATTTTATTATCCCTTCTCTCATAAGAATCGTTGTGGAATTAGCGTTGAACCACAGAAATTGTTTTATCAGAAAAAATGGATCTGTTTCGTCAATATTGATCAACTCAACAGCGCGATAACAAAGCACTGCAAAAACATTCAAACGAATGATTTCTTTTTTGTTGTCTAAGTGATAATAAATTTCGAACGGTTGCGGCAGTTCTATATGTATTTTAGCGGCCATTCTATGCAGATGCGAACGAAAAAAGTATCCTGGTATATCACAGCATAATTCCCATAAAAATGACAAAATGTTTCTATACATTTCAATTGTCGGTTCGAGCCAGTATGTAAATAATGACTGAAGAGCGTTGTGATCCATACTGTAAAAAAAATTTTCAATGATATATTAATTCTAGAAAGCGTTCTTTTTATTAAAAGAAATCTTGAATTATACAAGACTATTCTATATATTATTAAGAAAGTTTACAGACAATTTTTTGGTATAACTCTCTGCTTAATAGAAACAAAAAAGAATAAATTAAAAGGTTATTATTTATCATTAGGAAAAATTCAGCTTTATGATATATTATTATTCTACAAACTTACTGCTTTCCTGATTCCCAGCGGTTAATAATGAATTTCATAACTTCCCCAAACATTTCCTTCCATTCAACTTCGCTTAGTTTCCTTAAAATCGTCATATAAAGTTTTGTACCGCCGCAACGTAAAGAATTTTTTGTTAAACTATTGCATAATTCAAATAAGAAACACTGCATAGTTTGAACTTTAATATCATGTACTTGTAAAACTTCCGTTAGAATAATATATTTTGTTTCATTTTGCCACGACATGTCTCGAAGACATATCTGATATACATTATCTATAAATGTTTTTTTATGTTTCTGTAACATTATCCGGAGATACATGTTGAAAATTTCTGCATTCTGCTTACATAAATTATTAAGCACATTAGACCAATTGGAGAATATAATAGCTTCCAATTTTTGTTCTAAAATACAATTCTGTTTGTCCCAAAAGCACGCGTCGATCGTATTCTTCAATCTCTTCAACCACACAGACAATACTCTATATCCGAAATAAGTGTATTTCGTATATTTCATACAATTTCTATATATTACATCAAACATGATTAAAAGAGCGTCATATTCAAAGCACGTCTCAAGAACATCTTTCCGATTCATTTGCAAATATCCGTAGGCATTCAGTAACTTGAAGAGCTCGAGATCAGAAACGGTGTATTGCTTCTCGAGAAAACATAAATTGCACGAGTCTAGTTTTTGGAAACCAATTATAATGTCTTTGAGAGAGTGCGAGTCGCATTGCGTCGAAAGCAAAGAGTAGAATGCGTGACACGCTAAAAGAATGCGTTCATTCCCCAATTCGGAATTGTTACTGATTATCTCTATAATGTGCGCTAGAATCGTCTGCCATTCTCTCACACTTTCGCCCGTAGAATCGTGCAAGGGCGCAGTACTTATCAATTTCTGAAAAGAAGTAGACAAGTCATTGTAATCAATTTGCAATGAAATATTTCAATTAAATATTAAAGAAAATACTAACTCGGAAAATCGATACATCGTTTTGACAATTCTGCAATTTTTTTAACACATCGTGTGGTTCCATTTTTCTGCATCAGTGTATTTAGTATTTTATATTCAATAAAAACAAATATTTGCAATTTTTGACTATTTTGTTTGGTTTGTTTTTTTTTTGTGAGTTTCTATTTCGTAATATTGGATAATGTTAAAGTAATGTCTTTAGTTATGTAAGTTTTTATCTACCACTTGAAAATCAAGTGCTGCTTGGCTTTTCTTATTGAACTGCTTCGGCAAATCTGATTTTTCAGAACTTTGCATCCCACCACCAAGACAAATCCTGTAAGTAATAGAGAGTAATCACGTTCTTGTAAAGGATCGATACAGCGATAAGGAACAAAAGGCAATTGATATATAAAGATAATTAAATTATGATTTACATCGCAAAAAAAACTGCGCAACAAAATTTTAAAATTTTTCCCAAAAAAATTGAGTTAAAATATAATATAAAAGCCTGTGATGGAAACAACTAAATTAGAGTTTAGTATATTGAAGATGATATTCTGGAACGTAGAAATTTGAAAGAGAGAATGAATGATTTCAGAGCTTCTGTAAAATACCGGTTAAGGAGAATAGAATGTTGCAATAAAACCATTGTCTTGTGTTATTTTTAAGCACTTTGTTTATTATAATTCAACAAGTGAAAATAACAATATAAAGTCCAAAAACATTCGAATGGATAATGTATGAAATTAATTAATAGTTAATATTAATAGTTCAATCATGACTTGCTATGAATATAGTAAAATCGAAAGATTAGTATCTTATATTTTCTTTGGTTCTTCAGGAACATACCCCCCCGTCTCTATTTGCTCTTTGAACTTCAAGTAATCTCGCTTACGATCAAAATGTTTCACCTGCGTAACAGTGGCATAGAAGACTTGTTAGACAGTAAAAAAAAAAGTTTAATTATCGGTATTAAAAATATACAAAGTAAATATTAAACAAAGTTCTTTAGAAATACAAACCCTATAACAGTCTAGCCTGGATTTTAGTTACTTATATGTAATTTCAAGTGAATTTATATACTAATATGTGTAGTCTTTTCTAAACTACGCACCGAACGATTGTCGGTTTTGAAACGCAACTCTAATAAACTACCGCAGTACTATCACGAATTAAATTAATTAACAATTTAATAATTAATTGATGCTCTTTTGGCATCTTATATCGATGTTAAATTATATTAAAATCTGAAAATAATAATTCTTATTGTGAAAAATATTACCTCGGCCGGAAGTCGATTCAATTTAATTCGTGATAGTTTCTGCGGTAGTTTCTTACAATTAGAGTTGCATGTTTCAAAATCGACAATCATTTGGCGCGCAGTTTAAAAAGGACTACACATATTAGTACATAAATTTACGCGAAATTATATATAAGCAACTAAGATCCAAACTAGATTGTTATAGACTTTGTATTCATATTAGTTATGTTGTTACATTAATGGTCTTTAATTGAATATTGTTCTTTAGAAATGCTGTTGAGAAAAATACTGTTTGTAATACCTACCCATTGAGATGGGCAAAATTTTTCATATTGTTTCCTAAATTCTATACATTCCGTTTGAGATTTGCCTTCATCAAGGCATTGCCAATATTCGTCCCTGCAACTCCAGCACTTTGTACGATCTTCTTTGTTTGGAAAAGACATTCTGTAATGAGAGAATACAAAAAAAGTTATTAAACATACATACATATATATATATCACTCTCTTACTTTAAAAAAGTGACACAATTTAAAAAATTAAATACTGACGAGAATAAGCCATTTACGGTCAAGCTGAATTTCGAATGTTTTTAATATAATTTTCGCGTGAATTTATATACTACATATATAGATCCCTAAATACGCGCCAAAATTATATTAAAAGCATTCAAGATCCAGCTTGACCGTAAATGGCTCATTCTCATCAGTATTTAGTTAAAACTTTCACGGTCCAAATAAGAGTTTGTTTAAAAAATTAAGTTTCTCAGGAAAAAAGAAAAAACTACTTTTCAACTTAATGGAAAATTGACTAATCAAATAATGTCAATAATAAAAGTATTTATATCTACTTTTTATTCTTATATATAGGTAACGTTAAATGTCATTTTTGTTATTTGCATTTCACAGAACTCAAAATACTCACCCTTTTATAATTTAAATTAAATTTTTGAAGTATAATTTCTTATAACGTTCACTTTTGATAATTGATAGGATAATGTTTATACTTAACTCACATTCATGAGAGTAATAACTTAAAAATCATATTTTAAAGTTGTATCATTTTTGAAATAACAAAGCGATACATATGCTTTTAAAAATATGGTATATTCATTTGCTTCCAATTATATTATCACTTGTCTTATGATTGTATTCCTGGTTTTATTTAAATATATAAAGGGAGAAATTTGTATAATATAAATTTTCATTCTATTGATGATTTCATATATGAGGTCTTCATATATTAGATTAACATTTTTTATTAGATAATTATAATAATCTATTATATTTGAGTCGGAATTGGTCCGTTGAGGATGTTTGACGTGTTCCATGTATAACTTTTTATCTCAAGATGTACTTCGATAGTTTTGTAATATTTCTGACATAAGTTTTTTTAAAGAAAAAAATTTTTTTACTGTTTTCTTATTGTGTGACATTTATCATTATGACTATTTTTGTAAATATATGGATTCACGGACCAACTAATATTCTCACGTATAGATTTGTAAAAATTTTTTATTTATATATTTAACTACGCACAAGATTTTCTTATGTATTGATATTTTTCCATAATTATGTACATTTCAACGTAAAGTGTTTCATCTGAAGAGGACCAGATTTGGTGGTCGAAACTAGTAATGTAATTAACATCTGTTTTTTAATCGTTACATTTATGTAAATTTTATAAGTTCATTTTAGAATATATGTATTAATTGTTTGTTAATTTACTTTTCGTTTGACTCTTACAATGCCATTTCCATGTTTATAATGTTTTTAAAGAAAGAGTCCTTTATTTGTTTTATTTTTGTTTATAATAATCTAATTATTATTAATAATTAGAAGTTTTCTATCATTATCAGGAGACGCAGTAGTGTCTCCGGCCATGTTCAAAAACTGAGAGACACTACAAGTCTCTTATCCCGAGCCATCAAAGTCCATTTTTGGGAGGTGCATAACTACTAAAATATAAAAATTTTTGAATCGAACATTATATGTCCTGAAAGGCGCGGCATCGCCACGAGTAATTTGAGCCAAAAAAATTTAAAATCGGTCAAGCCGTTCTGGAGATACAAGCGGTCGAAAAGTGGTGATTTTAATGAAAAATTAAGAAATGTCTCCTTCTCCTTCTTCTTCTCTGTCCGCATTCAAATTTTCTCAAACCGCCATTAAAACTTTTTAACATTCTCTCTCATCTCTACCCCTCTCTTTCGCCGTATTTCACACTTTTTCGTTATTACAACTTTTTAACATTCTCTCTCACCTTTCACTCGCAGCACCACCATCTTCGGCCCACACTGGACCTCCTCCCCGCCCCTTCCCCTCCCCCCACCATCCCTCTCTTTCGCCGTAATTCACTCTTTTTCGTTATATATTACAACTTTTTAACATTCTCTCTCACCTTTCACTCACAGCACCACCATCTTCGACCTAGCGGACCTTAAAATATTAATTTAAAATAAGAACCCGACTGCTGACTGGTATGACGAATATTTAAAATGAGAAATTTTGATAATATTTAATTTTAAAAAACTTTTTATTTTAAAAATTATCTTTTTTACTAAAAACATCTGTTTTAAATTAAAAAAAAATGAAAGTAATAAAGAACGTTTAATTCTTTAAATAATTAAACGTTCCTTATTACATAACTGGCACTTAGTTTTTTGTAGTTTAAAACAGAGTGAAATCCAATTAGTATTTTATCGCAGAATTATTTGAAATGTGATAATTTCTATTAGCAGTTAATTTTAATCATTTAATACTGTAGTAATACATTTAATAATTTTATTTTGTAATACGCGATCGCGTTAACGAATAAATAGTACATTGTGTAACAAGTGTGTGTTACTTGTTTATTGTGCGACTATAGATAATAGTCGCGCTATAGACAATTATAGCACATGAGTTGCACATAGATTTTTTCATCACGAGTGCACTGTGTTAGTAATATATTATACAATTATAAAGTCACACGAGCAAAGCAAGCATGCGACTTATGGGGTGGTGCGTGGGGCGTAGCTCCCCCCAAAAGAAATTAAAATATTTCGTAAATAAATATTTAACAATACAAAATTTTGTATTGCTCATTACTTTTAATTATAATTGTGAAATTATTACAATTTGAAATTAAATTTAAACGTTATTGTAAGTTGAATGATATTTATAGATACTGTATTGTCGTTTTG